TTAGAGAAATAACTAAAGAAGACTAGTTACTTAGAGAAGTAACTAAAGAAGACTAGTTACTTAGAGAAGTAACTAAAGAAGACTAGTTACTTAGAGAAGTAACTAAAGAAGACTAGTTACTTAGAGTAGACTAGTGACAGGCTCTGTCCGTCTGTTTTCTTGATATTTATTGTGTTTCCCTCTCTGCTCTTTATATTTTTGTTGTTCTGCTCCTTGTGTCATTCGGTTCTTGTGTATCTGATTCTGTTTTCTCTCTCCTTCCACTCCCTCCTCAGCCTCCATCCTTCAGTCTTAATCATTCACACCTGTCTCCCATCAGTCACCTGCCCAGGTGCTCCCATCACTCACTCTGTCTCATAAAAAGCCTTTCTCTCCTTCATCGTCCTCCTCTGCCTGTGCTGGTTCTGGTTCTGGTTCCGTCCGTCTGATGATTCTCTCTGTTCTACTTGTTATTTAGCTGGAGTAAGTTTTTGTGTTGCCCCGTCAGCCTTTGGTTTTTATCTTTTTATTTAAACTCCTGCCTTCTTGTGCCTGCTGCACACGGGTCGAAAACACGAGGATTGTGACAACTAGTTACCTTGTGAAGTAACTAAACAAGTCTAGTTACTTTGTGAGTAACTAAATAAAGCAGACTATTTTAGTTTAAACCCTGTTGTGATCTGTTTCCTCCTCCTTCGACTCCTTCTCGGCACGGCGTGATTGATCCGTAGATTGATGGACGTGATCAGTGATTGATTCTCGGAGCCGTTTTCCTCGTAATAAATTACTACATTTTTAATGTCACTTAATATGTCGCTTTGTCTTTTTGCAGCAGCCATCGTAAATCTGCCGCGGCCGTCCAGGTGATGTGAACGCATCGTTAGGCGTCGTCGTAAAGACGAGCCGAGGCAGGAGGCAGACAACCGACGTCTCTGTCCCTGAAGGCAGCACGAGGGCGAAACCATAAAATCTCTTCATAAAAACTGAGTTTATGGCTCCACCTCCATCAAAAGATCAGACTTTACTGCTCGAGTGTTTAAACTTCAGCTCATGGGTTCAGCTGATGTTTTGAATAAAAGCTGCTCTGTCTGTAAATAAGAGGCTGAAGAACTCTGTCACTAAAATCCAGTTTTTTTATTCATGTCTGAAAGAAAAGAACTGGAAAAGGAGCAGCTGAAGCAGATTGAATGTTTTCTTTCCTCTCAGTTCTTCAGTGTCAAACTTCACTTCCTGGTTCTGCCCCGCCCACTTACACCTGTCGTCAGTTAGCCCAGGTGTCATGAAGCTTCCAGCTCCCGGAGTCCGTCTGTGATCAACACTTGCTCTCTCTGTTGCTCCGTTTGGTTGCTGTTGCCTTCACGAGCAACTTGCAAGAAATGTTTGGCAATTGTTTTAACCCGAGTGTCTTTCTTCAGCAGTCGGGGTTTGAACCTGCAACCTTAACACTGAACAACACGCTAAAAATCAGCTCAGCATCACCAAGCTGGACAGAGCTGCAGCTGTTCTTGTGTTGGCTAATGGTAATTAGCTGTGGCGGCCATCTTGAATACAGTTGACTCTAAACCAGTTTGAGTTATAAAGCTCTTTAAAACAAAGTGCGGAGAAATGTACAACTAGTTCAATAACACAAAAAATGAAGGATAAAGGAATAAAAACAAGAATTAAACAATAAAAACCAACACCTAGCACGTAACAAAAGACTTGATACAAAACAAAACAAATCATGCTGCATTATAAAACTGTAGAAAACTCAAAACAGGAACATGTGTACGTTGGTTCTTCCAGGAACTTATCAGATGTTTGAAGACACTTAGAGGTCAAAGGTCGAGAGCTTCAGATGATTTTACAAGATATTCCAGGAAACAGGAGCGGAGTAGGAGAAGGTCCTTTTGTCTAGTTCAGTCCTCACTGAGGGAACACTGCAGGTAATGATGTCCTGAGAGCGCACGCTGTAGCTGCACTCACACAGAGACATGTAGGAGGAGATGTATGAAGGCAGCAGACCAGGAAGTGATTTAAAGATGAAGATGTACCAGTGAGAGAGTCTGTGTGAAGTTAATGGTGACCGTGGTGAAGGATGCTCTAGATCATAATCTCAGAATTCACCAGTCGTATCCACTACAGACAATATTTGTTGTTGTTTTTGTTTAGATGTTTGTATCTGAATAATCTGCTGGAACATTTTGACTAACTTCAGTTCATTATGTCAAGTATCTTTAACTTTCTCTGACAAAAACAAAACATGGACACGTTTCATGTCAGCAGAGAAGTTCTGGATTTTGTTTGAGAGTAGAAACAGTAAGGATGTTCACTGTGGACTGTGGCACCAACACATTGCTGCCTGGGTGAAACGTCTTCTTCTTCTTCTGCTGCTGCTCCCTTCGTCAGGGGTCACCAACAGTGGACTAAGTCGCACGAAGACTTGGCGATTGTGTTTACTCCTTCCTGACACAACCACAGGGCACCAATCTGCCACAGCCCCCTGTGTGGAGCAGAGAGCTACCACAGCCGTCTGTGTGGAGCAGAGAGC